AGGTTATAGCGTTTTGTACCATTTGTCAGGCTAAAAAGGAAGAAAAAAGAGAAGAAGGAAGGGGTGAGGGGTGTAGCAAGGCCTCCTGGAATAGTTCGCGGACCTCCAGTGCTCGTCGCCCGTTAAGAGCGATAGTGTTCTGAGGACCTCGTGTGCGCTGACTTTTACCACTGCAGACAGCCCCGATGCTGCTCTGTCCATCTTACAGATAAGGAAACTGAGGCACAGGAACATCAAGAACCTCACGTGGCATCAGACTAGGTGACGAGGAGAGAAGCGAGGATTTGAGCCCCAGGCAGTGTGGCCCCAGAGTCGGGGCCCTTAACCACCCCGCCACTGCAGTGCATACCTGGTCACAGGCGCGCACAGACCAGGCGGGTGTTACTGCACCAGATGGTCTGGAACCTGAGGAAGCAGAGGTGCGTGAGTTGCTCGAGACGGGCCCAGGCGCCAGGCTAGTAGGCAGCAGATGCCGGACAGAGCCCCATCAGTCTGTCCCCACCGCCCACGTCCACCTTTCCTCTCTGCCGCACACCTCTCCACGTTTTGCTCGGGGCGTGGCGCTGGTGGGTATTTGAGGGCCTGATGTGGGCTGCAGTCAGCTTCCAGCTCTTTTCTCTGAGTACAGGCATAACCTCAGTCACTGCTTCACTGATCTGGAAACTTCAGATACGTGAGTCAGACCAAGTCAAGAGCACCTGCTCTTCTTCATTTATTTATTTCGTTCTGCCAGTGTGAAACTGGGCTGGCAGAATGTTGCGGCTCAGCCCTTGGCGATCATGAAGGAAAGGAGCTCTACGGGACTGCACTCATTTCCCTAATTGGCACACCAGCCCACTTCCAAATCCCTGAGGCCATCCAGGCTCTGGCCAGGAGCAGGCTCCCAGGCCCACCCGATGGAGGTCGAGGCCTGTGTTGTCCACCTGGGTACAGCTGACATGTGGCACGTGAGCCACCTCCCCGCTCTGCCAGATTCTGCCCTGACCCAGCATCCACACCCTCCCTCACTGGGCAGGGGGGACAACCCCAGGATCCCTTGCAGTCAAGTTCCAGGCAGCCATGAACATTCAGGCAGAATTAGCTGCCAGGCTAGTACTGTCCTCCGTTCTGGGGCCCCCAGAGAGGCAGCCCCCAGGAAGGCCCTTGCCTAGAAGCCAGACTGACCTTTAGGGAAGCCCATGGGCCCCACCCCAGTGGGCTTCCCAACCTACGTGGGACACTCAATGAGCACTTTCCAGGGCTGGGCACCTCTCCAGGTGTATGCCCATCACCTGGTCTGCAAGCCACAGCCCACAGGCCAGGCATTATTAGGGCACAGAGAGGCTGAGCAACTCAGCCACAGTCGCCCAGCCAGGACATGGCATAGCAAGGGCTCCAGCCCTAGCAGCCTGGTTCTAGAGCTTAAACCTTGTGTCTGTGGCCACTTAGTTGGAGTTTGTGGCCCCTGTGCCTTCCAACCCTTCCTCCTAGACCTCAGACAGCACTGGGCAGACACACCCCAAATTTGCCCTTTTTAGATTTTGCATGATGCTGGCGTCACTTGTCCCTGCAAGGGGACGTTATGGGTGTTGCATCTGCGGTGAGCCAGGCTCTGGGCTACTGCTCTGCATCCTTGCCCTGAGGAGCTGTCATAATGACCAGAGACCTAGGTGGGCTGAGGTCAGCCCCACCTGGCAAGAAGAGCACTCTAAAGCTTGAGAGATCAGATGCTTTTCCCATGTCACACTCAAAGTGAGTGGTGGGAGTTGGGGAGGAGCTACCTCTGCCTAATTAAAATGGCTCTGTGTTAGTTTTCTTTGGCTGTTCTAACAAATTACCACAAATCTAGTGGCTTAAAACGATACAGGGATACGTGAAAGAAATTTGGTAGTTACTTAGTGATTTAGTTTGAGCGGCTGGGTCAAGCCTTATCTGAAGCAAATTTTTTGGCAATTGCTTAAAGAAAAAAAATCGATTTATTATCTTATAGTTCTGGAGGTCAGAACTCCAAAAGAGATCTCGCTGGGCTAAAACCAGGGTGTTACAAGGTCTCCAGCTTCCAGAGGCACCCCCATTCCTTGGCTCCTGACTCCTCCTCCATCCTTAAAGTGCATCCCCTCCATTCTCTGTTTCTAACACATCTGCTCTGACTCTGACCTCCTGCCTCCCTTTTACAGGGATCCTCATAATAACATTGAGCCCACCCAGATAATCCAGGATAACCTCCCCGTCACAGGATCCTTAAGTCGATCATATCTGTGAAGTCCCTGTGGCCATAGAAGCTAACCTATGAGCAGGTTCTGGGGACTAGAATATGGATTTATTTGGGAGGACATCTGAGCTCTTTCTGCTTTTCATGGTGTGATATTTGCCTCTACTCTCTGATCCATGTCCTCCATTGGGATTCTTCCTTCAGGCCATGGGGACATCCTGGATTCACTCCCTCTGTGACACATGTCATATAGAATTAGAATAAAATTTCTTGACGATCTTCTGCAGGTTGTGAGTAGGTGCTCCAGCAAATATATGCAGGAAATGTGGAGCAAAACAACAATTAAATGGCTGTCTGTATGCAGGACTTATCAGAACGTTTATTATGTAATTAACGTGACATTTGAACCAAGAGATAGAGTGTACAATGCTACTAAACTTCTTTGACCAAGGCATTTTATTCCATGGAGCTTCTCTGGGAATCGGCATTCCACAAAATGCACGTTAGGAAAAGTGAGTGACTGATGAGGACGCTGCCTGTGCAGGGTCTGCAGCGTCTGTCCCTCTAGCTGCTGTACTTGGCACGCTGCCTGGAGCTCGTACGTGCCGAGAATTGGGCCTGGACGGGGCCCCCGTTTCGATCAGCCAGCCCTGAGACTGTCCCTTAAAAAAGCCAGTGCTTCTCCCCAAGGGCTGTGTGCTCCTGAGCATCAGCCTGGGGAGCCTGAAACTCAACTGTCCGCCAGTCGGCAGGGCCTGGCAGAGCCAACCTTCCCCCCCATCCCCCTCCCCCGAGCATCCCAGACGGCGGTCGGGCCCGGCTCAGGTGGGCCTCGAGGCTGAGGCAGTGGAGGATGCGAGGCCATGTCTCCACTCGACCACAAGAGTGTGGCCCCCAAAGAGAGGATGGCATTAGGATTTACCACGGGAGGCCCCCCACCCCTTCCTGCCCCCTTCATCCATCAGTGAATGGTGCATCTCCGTGTCTGCCATGATTCTCTCCCTCACCAGATACTCTTCCTCACCCAGTCACAGGAAACTTGTAAGAAGGGGTGTATGGAGGGGCACCTGGGTAGCTCAGTCGGTTAAGCGTCCAACTCTTGATTTCAGCTCGGGTCATGATCTCAGGGGTCCTGGGATTGAGCTCCACATCGGACTCTGTGCTTAGAGGGGAGTCTGCTTGGGATTCTCTCTCCCTCTGCCCCCCCCCCCACACCCACACTCTCTCTCTAAAATAAATAAATAAATCTTTAATAAAATAAGGGATGTGGAGCAAGTAGAAACTATTTTTACGAACACATACACAGCAGGTAATTAAATTGATGCTTGAAAAGAAGGAGATCACAGCTTTTAAGAAAGAAGAGATATTTTGTTCCAGGAAACTCTGTTAAAGAGCTGAACATCAAATTTAGCTGAGAGCTTCCTGGCAGCCAAGGTGGGAAAGGAAAAAAAACATAGGCTATAAATTTGTCTTTATTTTACATGGAAAGTATGTATGTCAGGAAGGAGAAAGAAATATTTTTCTGCCCTAAAACTTTAGGATGACTTTATCAAATGAGTGTTGCGTTTTGAACTTTGAGAAAGTGTTAGCAATACTATGGTGTAGTGAATGATGTGGAAACGTTACTCATTCGGCTACTTCTTCCATTTATTCTTAATAAAATGCTAAGAAAAGTATTAAATCATCGCTTTGTAAAAGAAAGATTCTGAAGCCGTTTTCAGTGTACTGCTGGAAATAACACCCCGGAGGCTTCGTGGGCTTGCTTTTCGTAGAATCTGGAGCAAGTTTAATAGCCTTTACTTTCCTGCTACTTAAGAAGAGCAATTCCACCTGCCCTGCAGTGCAGAGCAGTGTTTTCAAGGATGATGCCCACTGTGTCTGGGATGCACTGTCCACAGGAGCCGTCAACCAAAGCCACCTCTCCCTGTAGGAGGATAAATACTAGAGCGCTGAATATTTAAATCCGTGTTCTAAAAGTGGCTCTTTTATCTGATTATCATGATCTCAGGGGTCTAATCAGTCTACCCACCTTTGCATCTATATACATGGAGGTTTGCACAATTAAGGGCTTGGTAACAAATGGCAGGTTCCCTGAGGCTGGAAATGTGCAGTGTTCAGTCTGGAAAAGGCATAAGTCACGAGGGTGAGTTTGAATCCTGGGAAGACTAGCTCTTTGAGAATATGTCCACCCACGGTTCCTGTGTTCCCCAGGGTCATATGGATGGAAAGGGCCTTGGAGGGCATTTAGTTCAGCTCTCTTCCCGATGATAGAATCTACTCCTGCATCCTGGCCAAGTGGCAGGCAGTCTGACCATCTGAATACCTCCGACAAGGATGAGCACCCAGGGCCAGGCAGACAGGAGGCGCTCAATAAATACTTATCAAAAGAGCACCTCCCGTGTGCGAAGCTCTGAGCTAGGGGTTACTGTGTATACGTCGTTCCATTACTACCAGAGGCATGTGAGGCAGGAATGGTTACAAACAATGGACCAATGCGCTGTGATCGCAATGGGACTTGAAACCTGGACATGCTCCTCTTCCCTCTGGGGGCAATCAGGAGACTTCTGTTCTCTCCTGGCTCTTCTCCTAGCCAACCAGGTGACCTTGGGCACGTCACCATACATCTCTGGGCCTCCGTTTTCCTATTTCCAAACAAAGGCTTGGAATTTCATGGTTTCAAAGGCCCCTGCCAGCTATCTCCCTGACAATGTGTGAGTCTGGGTGGTGGGACTATCCCCGCAGAGCCCAGTGTCAGACTCAGCAAACATCCTGATCCCTGCCAAAAATCTGTGATTGCCCCTGTTTGCAGCCTTCCAGACTTTCCTGGGCAAAGAGGATGTCTCCCGAGAGGTGGAGGAGGTCCTGATGGAGAGCCGCGTGCAGAGGAACGTCCAGCTGGTGTCCGTGCTGGAGCTGCTCCGGAGTCCCCTGGTGCGCTGGCAGGTCTTCACTGTGGTCGCCACCATGGCCTGCTACCAGCTCTGTGGTCTCAATGCGGTGAGCATCCCTGCGCAAAGGGAGGAACTAGAGGGAGGGGAGGGCGGGGTGGGGCAGGGCTTGGGCCTCAGTACCAGGATCCAGTCCCAGCTCTGCGACTTCCACCAGCTCTGCGCCATCGGGCAATCCCACAGTCTGATCCATCCTCAGTTTCCTCATCTGTAAAATGGGCTGACGTAATACTGAAAGAAATAATCCATGCAAAGTGTTCAACGCAGCAGCTACACAGTTGCGCCTTAATAAATGCTGCCTACCATTATAATTTCTGATCCCTAAAACTCAGATTTCTTACTAAAATGGGTATTAGGAAGTTGTCAGTGAAAGATGATTTAAATAAAAGTACTCTTGGTTGGGCTGATTTCAACATGCAGCTTTGGTCTAAGAAGACCTCAGGCCTGAAAGGAAAACATTTTCAGGGCCTGAGCTGATGTGGGCAGGGATATCGGTGGGGGGGTCTTCCATGAAGTTCCCCAACCCTCTGATAGACACAGCTGCCCCTTCTCTCCTGGGGGCTCCTGAAGGTAGAATCCAAGAATCCCAGGGAGACAGACTCAGGATCATTATCATTGTTGCTTCTGAGAAAAACAGTGGGTCTGCCTCAAGGAGTGGTAAGTTCCCCATTTACAAAGGTATGCAAGCCAGTTGGCGGGGCAGTGTAGAGGTACTTGCATGGCTCAGGAGAAGTGGGGCTGGGCCCAGAGGAGGATAAAGGGCACCTTCCACAGAGCCCCAGACAAAACAGCTCCTCTGCATTCATGAGCCTGGCATCCCCTGAAAGTCCGCAGGGAGGGCGTTTGGGGTATGTTTGGGGAGGTGACATAGAAGGGGAGGCATCCCTGTCCGGAGAGGGAAAGGTGACAGCATGGAAAGTTCTACCCATCGTGTCTTGCCGCATTTCAACTACTCTTGATTCTATTTTTGGAAACATTGGGATGAAATGAAATCATCTTGCAACTTACTTGTTTTTACCTTTTTCCTTGGTCTGGTTAAAGTCAGCAGGAGGAGGAGGGGCCTGGGCCAAGGGCATGGCCTTGGACAGGGGCTGCCCCTTCCTCCTCTTTGCACCTCCAGGCTCAAAGCCGCCCTCCCTGTTCTGAGAAGGTAGAGAGGGGGCAGATCCGTTTCTTAGAGCTAACATTTCGAGTAGTAAAAGCCACATACGGAATCTGTATTTAATGAGGCATTTGGATTGAGAACCATGACATTTCTAAACAGAATTCTCTCCTCTCCTGGGACACAATTTTCCAATTTGCATTCTCTATGTAACTTCCTACATAAATCCCACTAGGGTGTATCTGTAAACCCCACTGCATCGGCATGGGATGGGGAGAAACCATCTCGTCGGCTCCAAGGGCCAGCCCTGGGGAGGTCTTAGCTAGCAGGTATCCCACCCTCCTCCTGGTGACTGCCTTTCGTCTGTTTTGCTATTGTCATGAGCACATTTAATGTGAGATCTACCTCCTTAACAAACGTTCGGGTGCACAATGCCGGATTGTGAACTGTAGACACGGTGTCCTACGGCCCATCTGCAGAGCGTATATATCTTGCTTCACTGAAACTTTGCACCTGTTGATTGGCAGCCCCCCACTTCCTCCTCCCACAACCCCTAGCAACCACCACTCCGCTCCCTGCTTCTGTGAGTTTGGCTACTTTAGCTACTTCATGAAAGTGCAAGCGTACAGTATTGGTGATCAGCTTTTTCCCTCGGCATGGTGTCCACCAGGTTCATCCATGCGGTCACATGCTGCAGGATATCCTTCCTTTTCAAGGCCGGATAATATTCCATCATGCGTACACATACCACATTCTCTTTATCCATTAGTCCACCGACAGACGTTTAGGATATTTCCACACCTTGGCTACTGTGAATATTGCTGCATTGAACATGGGAGTGCAGATAACTCTTCGAGATCCTGATTTCGATCTGGATAAAAACCCAGAAGTGGGATGCTGACTCATATTGCAGTTCTGATTTTTTGAGGAATCTTCATACCATTTTCCAGAGTGGCTGCACCAGTTTGCATTCCCACTGACGGTGTGCAGGGGATCTAATTCTTCCACATCCTCACCAGCACTTTTTTTTTTCATAATAGACATCCTAGCAGGTGTGAGGTGATTGATATCTTGCTGTGGTTTCGATTTGCGTTTCTCTGATGAGTGATGTCAAGTGTCTTTTCATGTGTGTCTGTTGGCCATTTGTAGGTCTTCTTTGGGAAATGTCTGTTCAAGTCCTTTGCCCATTTTTTAATGGAGTTGTTTGGAGGCTTTTGGGGGTTTTGTTTTAACTTATTTTGTTTTGCTATTGAGATGTAGGAGTTCCTTATATATTTTGGTGATTAACCCCTTATCAGATATATGGTTTGCCAATATTTTCTCCCATGCTGTAGATTGCCTTTCCACTCTGTCGATTATTTTTTTTCGCTGTGAAGAAACTTTTTAGTCTGATGTAGTCACACTTGTTGATTTTTGCTTTTGTTGTCGTCTCCAAAAAAAAAAAAATCATTGCCAAGAACAATGTTACAAAGTTTTTCTCCTATGTTTTCTTCTAGGATTTTTCCAGTTCTTGTGTTTAAAATCTTAATCCATTTTGAGTGAAGATTAGCATCCGTTTTCATTCCTTTGGATGTGGGTATCCAATTTTTCCAACACCATTTGCCAGACTATCCTTTCCCCATTGAACATTCTTGGCACCCTTTGGCAATTAGTGGACCACATATGGGTTTATTTCTGGTATCTCTATTCTGTTTCCTTAGTTTATATGTCTGTCTTTATGTCAGTATCACACTGTTTTAATTACTGTTGCTTTGTAATATATTTTGAAAAGAGAAATAGGATGCCTTCAGTTTTGTTCTTTTTAAAGATATGGTTCCAGACAAATTTTAGGATTTTTTTTTCTATTTCTGGAAAATATGCCATTGGGATTTTCATAGGGATGGCATTGAATCTGTAGATCATTTTGGGTAGTGTGGCCATTTTAATAATATTAAATCTCCTAATCTATGAACGGAATATTTTTCCATTTATTTGTGTATTTAATTTATTTCCTTAGTGTTTTTTAGTTTTCAGTGCAAAAGTCTTTCATTTCCTTAGCTAACTTTATGCCCAAGTATTTTTTATGCTATTGTAAATACAATTATTTTCATAATTTCCCTTTCAGATGGTTCATTGTTAGTATATAGAAACACAACTGATTTTTGTTTTTTTCTTTATTTTTTAAAGATTTTTATTTTCTCATTTTTTTATTTGACAGAGACAAAGAGAGACACAGCAAGAGAGGGAACACAAGCAGGGGGAGTGGGAGAGGGAAAAGCAGGCTTCCCGCTGAGCAGGGAGCCTGATGCAGGGCTCAATCCCAGGACCCTGGGATCATGATCTGAGCTGAAGGCAGACGCCTAACGACTGAGCCACCCAGGCACCCAAAACACAACTGATTTTTGTATGTTGATTCTGTATCCTGCAACTTTACCGAATTTATTAGTTCTAACAATGTGTGTGTGTGTGTGTGCGCGCACGTGCGCGCGCGCACGCATGCGCACGCGCGCGCACTATCTTCAGGGTTTTCTACATTTAAGATCATGTCATTTGCAAATAGTGATGATTTTACTTCTTCCTTTCTGCTTTGGGTGACTTTTCTTTCCTTTTCTTGTCTAATTGCATTGGCTAGGACTTCCAGTACTGCATTGACTAGAAGTGGTGAGAGTGGGCATCGTTGTCTTGTTTCTGATGTTAGAGGAAAAGCTTTCAGTTTGATGAGTATGATGATATTATGATATGATATTAGCTGAGTATGATGTTAGCTCTGGGCTTGTCATGTATGGCCTTTATTATGCTGAGGTAGTCTCCTTCTATTTATTGTTTGTTTAGGATTATTTTTAATCTTTAAGTCAGAAGTAATATTTCCCGCTTGGCATGCTTAACTTGACATGGAGCAAAAAGCTCTGGACCCTTATCCAGAGGCCTGACTGTCTGTCTCACTGTGACCACAAGCCTGCAGTGGGAAGCCTAGGCCAATCGCTACCCTCACCCAGCCTCTGTCTGCTCAGCTGTAATAATAATAAAGCAAACATTCATTTAGCACCTAACGTGAGCCAGAAGTTGTCCCCGTGTCTGTCCTGTGAGTTAGACACCACTGTTAGGCACAGAGACGTTAAGAGACTTTCCCTAGGTCACACAGCTACAAGTGGTAGAAAGGGGATTTGAGCCCCAGCCATTTGGCCACAAGGTCTGGCCGCTTGAGCCCTGAGCAGGGAGGGTCCCTAAGGCCCCCTTTGAGCATCCCCATATGTGTCACTGGGCTGTGTCCCAAGGTCATCCCTAGGCAGCCAATAGGACAAGTCTTACACCCTTTCTTTTACCTACAAAAGGACAAACACTGGTTGGCAGCCACCTCAGCATCAGAGCCCTGTGCTTCGGTCCAGTTCTCCCCAGCGCCTCTTGCCTCTCGATTCAAATAATGCACGGGACAAGGAGGAGTGCTGTCTACCAGATGAAAAACTTCAAATGCCCTTTAAAACTTGCTTTCCTCCGTTAACTGTCCCAGAAATTATTTGGGCTCCTGCCCCGGAGCACCTGCCCAGGCTTGGCCAGACTTCGTCTAAGGCCCAGGTGCCTGCACTAACCCAGCCATTCTCAGCCTCTCAGCCTCAGCACTATGCACATTGGGGGCCAGAAAATCCCTTGTCACGGGGGGCTGTCCTGCGTACAATAGAACGTTTCACAGCACCCTGGCCGCAGCCGCCAGATGACAGTAGGCTACCCCACCGGCTGTGACAACCAAAAATGTCTTCAGACGTTGCCAAGTGTGCCCTGGGGGGACAACTATCCCCAGGTGACATTCACCATAGTAAGTGAACATTACATATTGCCCAGTGCACTTTCGCTAAGAAGTCGACAAATAGTTTCTGCATACCTTAGAAATCAAGCAGAAGTTGGATTTAACATTTAGTTGTTTCTAAATTCCTTATCAGTGTGGGGTTGTTTTTTCCCTCCTTCTCACAATGACTTTCAAATTCCCTCCTCCAAAATTAGACCTGTCACTTAAAATGCCTTATTTTCTGCAACTGTCTTCCTCCTGAGCAGTTTGTCCTTTGCATGAAAGTCAGACTTTTGTGCGAATGTTCTGTCTCTCACCAGCGAGGAGCCTCCTGGTTACGGCGGCGGGGGGGGTGGTGTTGCAGATGATGGATGGAAGAGGAATCTCCAGTCAGTCAGGGGCACAGACAGCCCCAGCATAGCCCGAGCAGCGGAAGAACCATGGGGCCGGAAGCAAACAGGCCTGGGTCTGCACCCTGCTTGGCCTTACCGGCTGTGTGTGGTCTCTCTGATCCTAAGGCAATGTCACCTTCACAAGCTGTTGAGAGAGTTGAAAATGATGACGCGTGTTATGCTAGGTCTCTAACACACTGTGTCAGGAGTTAGGAAGGAGGGCTTTGGGGCCCTGGAGGCAGGCAGTCAAGAAGCAGGCTGAGAAGCAGCCCCAGAGGGCCTTCCTCCACAACGCATGTGCATAACTGACATTTTCCTTTACCAAAGAGCCATGGTGTCTCAGTAGAGAGATGGAAATCTTCTAGAATGATACCCCCCCATTTGTTATGTACCAATTCTATAAAAGATGCTTGGGGCACCTGGGTGGCTCAGTGGGTTAAGGGCCTGACTCATGTCATGGTCTCAAGGTCTTGAGATCGGGCCCCACGCTCAGTGTGGAGTCTGCTTGTCCCTCTCCCTCCCCCTCTGCCCCCCCCCACTCACACTTGCACACGAGCTCGCTCTCTCTCTAAAATAAAATCTTTTAAAGATGGTTTACTTTGTCACTTTAAACATTTTTACAACCACCCTGAAAGACAGATTTTTTTTTTTTTTACCTTCTTTAGATACATGTAGTCCCTTGCCTACAGACCCACAGTTCCCCAGAGGCAGCCCTGGGGTTGAAATCAGGTGTTCACGCCTCCAAACTGTGGCTCCTTCCAGTCCGCCGTCCGTCCCCAAGGGAGGAGACTATCGGCAACCTGAGAGCGTGATGGTGTCATGGATGAGATCCAACACAAAGCCTACTCCTCGGGGCGGGTTTGCTGCAGGACACACCCCACCTTTTCCCGGTGCTTCCATGGTGTATAACGCCCTCGAACTGCCAGATCACCTAAGCCTCAGTGGGACAGAGGCAGAGGCCGCTACCCGCCTGCTCTATAAGATGCCTCAGCCGGAGAGAAATGGCTTCTGGAGCCGGCAGAAGGAGACAGGCAATTTGTGTGATGGGCAGGCCTCCTCCCCCCACTCCCTCCTGGGAGCAGCCCAGCAGGACCTCCTCGCAAGCCCTGGAATGGGGGAGATGGTCCAAAGGGCTGATTTCTGCCTCTCGAGGGATAAATGCATTTGCTATGAAATGACTCCAGAGCCACTTTCGTAAGCAACCCCCCCCCACAATGAGCATGTAATTTTATGCAGTGCGACCTTCTTCTTTAACCTTGGGGTTTCAGGAAGAATTTGAAGCAGGGAAGGTTGCAGGGGGTGTGAGGAGCAGGAAGGAGGCCACGGGGGGGGGCCAGGGCACGCACATCTCCCACAGGAGAGCACGTACCCCGTGGAATCAACCAGGGGCTGGCAGCCCTGGGTTCAGACGGAGGCAGCAGAGTATTCTGGGGGATGGAAGGGGCCCATAGAGCCTTGGCTATTAAAAATCAGTGAATCTGGGTAAAGGTTAAGAAAGGCGTTTAAGCCCCTTTGATCCAACTCTGAAGATCACAGTTACTTTCCAAAGGGGAGGAGATTATACAGACAAATCTGGTGAAGATTGGGGTTTTCTGGAACAATTTTAGCTTCTGTCACAGCCCTAAGAATGAATTTATCAGGAGCCACTTCTGTACTCGGTGAATGTGGAAGCAAAGGTAGAATCTAAAAATTCTAATCTATCAGCTCAGTCAAATGTGGGCCAGACACTGGGCAAGAGGATCTTTGTCTTAGGAGAACCTTAAAACGCATTTTGCCGAGAGATGCATCAGTGCCCACAAGCTCACAGAAATACATGCAGTCGTTTTTACTGGCCTCTGAGTGTGCCTATAACTTTATGAAGATACTCCCCTCGCTAAAAGATAAGCCATCTGTAGATATGTATAGTTCCTAAACTGGATCTTCCCCCCCAAGTGCATGAAAAACATTTTGCTAAACAAATGCCGGTAACAAGACAAATTTGTAGAAATGAGAGCTTTTTCCCAAAGTGAAGTAAGAGCCAAATGCAAAGAGCATGACCAGCCACCGTTGGGCCTGACAAGTTATAGGCAACGAGCTCTAATGTTTCTGCTTAATAACGATCAGGGTGTAAATGCCTCCAAGGCCCCCGAAGGTGGCGGGTTTCCTCGTCAGATGTCGTGTAAAGGACAGCTTGGTTTTCTATATTTAACAAATTCGTGCTCTTTAAGAAAATGGCTGCGATTGGGAAGACACAAATGACTCGTGTCCAGCCTATGGACCCGAAATTTTAAGTAAATAGTGACAATTCTTACCCAATCCGGGCACTCCACAGGAGGGGCGTGAACAGTGACAATTCTTACCCAGTCCGGACACTCCACAGGAGGGGCGTGGCAGGACAGAGTGAATTACTTGAGGTCACACAGCCAGTTCAGCATGGAGCCAGGTCTCCAACCTCCAGTCAGTGATTGCCCGATGCCCCATGAGTGTCATTAGGGTTAGGTTTGGCCTCAAGTGGCAGAAACCTCCACACTGACCTAACTTGACATTGAGGGAAATTGGGCAGGGCGGTACAGCAGTCCCAGGACCACACATCCTGGTTTGCCCAGGGCAATCCAGATTTATGCCTCTTGTTCCGAACTAATTATTAACACTCTCAAAGGTGCCCAGGTTTGGTTAATGAATTATAGAATCACTCTAGTGAGCAGGGACACAGGCTCCTTCCAACTTCTTGCTCTCGCTTATGAACAGGTGGCTTCCATCCCAAAGCAGGGGCTCTATGCGTAGTTGTGCAGGCTGTGTGTTGCACAACCCTCAGGACATCATTCACCTTGTCCCCACTATAGATTTATTGTACCAGTTTTCTAGTGGATGACAGTAAATTGTCTTGTAGATCAGGAACCTTTTCAGTTTCTCACAAAGTTACCATGGGGGCTACCATGCTGTCCTGAGGTCACCTAGTGATCCAAGAGGGCTGCTGAAACTCCAGCATCATGTTCACCATCCTGACAGCAGAAAGGAGGAAGGGCAAAAAATGGGATCACACCTCGTTGGTGGAAAGCTTATTTTAAAGAGATTTCTGTTCCTATCTCATCGCCACAATGAGCTCAGCATGTGTTGCTCCCAGTACCGTAGTTCTGTTAGTAATGAAGAAGGGGCAAAGGTGAGAGAAGGAAGGAAACAAATAGTGGGCCACACCACACAGCTCCATGCTGGATGTAGCAGCAAATCTCAGAGACCACCTTGCACCTGAATTTAATTTTGGAAATAGATGCCTTTCACCGACTCTCCCTTGTTTTTCTTTCCTGCATTATAGATTTGGTTCTACACCAATAGCATCTTTGGAAAAGCTGGGATCTCACCAGAAAAGATCCCATACATCACCTTGAGCACCGGTGGCATCGAGACTTTGGCCGCCATCTTCTCCGTAAGTAAACTGGGGGTTATTCCTGAGAACATCATAGTGGGGTGAACAACGCCATGGGGCCCCCCAGGCAGCAAGCATGCTTGCCTTTAAAGGAGCATGTCCTTTGTCGCTCCATAGGTGTCTGAATTTTAAGATGTTTCACCCATCTGGAGAATATTATCTATATTTTGCTCTCCTATTGTCTTTCTTTTCAGAAATAGCTCCCTCCTTTGAACGCTCGCCTGGTCACAGATGATCGAGCACCCAGTAAAAAGGGCAGCTTCTCCCTGGGGGTCCAGATCAGTGTCCCTGTGAGCCGAAGGCCCATTGCCATGACTTTAAAATATTTCCAAACCATTAGCTGTCATCTTTCTACCCCAAATATGTAGGAGTTTGCAGGCAAAGGGAAGGAGAGAGGACATTCCGGTCGGTCGGTGTAACAGAGCGTGACTTTAATAGTAAGCAAGAGTGTCCAAAGGAAGACACAGAGTTCATCCTCCTTTCTCAGCCTCAAAGATGCACAATCAACATGCTGCAGGGAGGGAGTTAGGGGACTTCAGAATTTCGCAGAAACTGCACAGGTTGGGGCCATCAGACCAGACGAGATTTGAATCGTGGCTCTAGAATTGTTTGGCCGTGAGATGCTGGACAATGCTCTCAACCTCTGTGAGCTTCAGTTTCCCCTTTTAGACGTCTGATTCTCTTCTACCTTGTAGGTATGTGGTCTCTGCCTCACACTGTAGGCAAACCGTCCGTGACGGGGCTCCTTTCCAAAGGGTAGAGGGGAGGGTAGAATCAGAGTGAGGTTCTCAGACCTTCACGGAGGAGCTCATTTATTCCCTCTCTCGCACCAAATTCTGCTGACGGGATCGGTGCAGTGCAGACGTGCAGAGACTTCCAGTCCCATTTCTGACTCGCCTTCAACAGAACGCTCTATTTTGCTCCTTGCTCATAGTGGGTCATTCTAACAAGATGCTTCTAAAGATGGGTGTCAGGAAAGTGTTGAGGACTGATGTGCGTCTCCTCCTTTCACTCACTGTCTTTTTGTTAGAGGAAAACATCTCACCATTTCACAATCTGGGAGTTTCACAAAATTCTGGTTTTGAGTTACGCCCCACACCCCCGATGTGGCTATGCATGCTTACGTTGATCCATGGAAACGCACAGTCTGGAATGGAAATGGTGGGGAACAACAGGGTTTGTTTGGGGGCTGGGGGTCGGTAAGGTATTTTGTTGTTGTAAGGAATCATCACGAGCTCATTAGGGTGCATGTGTACAATTCAGAAAAGCAGGAAGAACCGAAGAAGAAATCTACAAACATACATACATTTGGCAAAATCTCCCCTTGGCTTTTCTGTGCGCAGGTGTGTTCTGTTCTTACGCAGTAGTCACCCTGCTTTTGTTCACATGACCTTGTGCCAGACTTGCTTTCCATTTTACTTTCCTTCCTTCTTGTCTGAGACATGTTTTGTTGAAGTGTAAGTGCATGCTGGTCATCGCCCCTGTGACCGAACACCAGCCGTGCAGGCTCTGTGGCTCTTCAGAAATTGGCTGTATGGTCAGTTCTCTCACCGCTGTCTGCGGGGAGGGGCTCTTGAGCGTGTCCCCTCGGAGCTTGGATGGCAGAGCCACACCGCCTGGATTCTGATCCCTGCTCCGTCCCTTTTGAGCTGCGTGACCCTGGGGAAGTTATTCAACAGGTCTCTGCCTCAATTTCCCCATTTCAGTAATAAGGACACTGCCCCTTGCCTGGGTGGCTCAGTCAGTTGAGCATCAGACTCTTGATTTCAGCTCAGATCATGATCTCGGGGTCCTGGGATTGAGCCACACATGGGGCCCCACGCTCAGCAGGGACTCTGCCTGAGGTGCTCTCTCTCTCTGCCCCTCCCCCACCCCAGCTCACGCACACTCTCTCGCTCAAATAAATAAATAAAAGGGCACTGTCCTTGCCCATAGAGGGGACTTTTGTAAACTCAGACGGGGAGTCGGCCTGCTGCCGCCTTCAAGTGTGGAGCACGATGGACCACGGTCACCTGGCACGTGCATTCTAGAGAAGCAGGGACCTCCGTGTGGGCCCACTTTGGGGAGCAGCGGCTTCATAGCGCTCATGGAGGCGTCATTCATTCATGCCTGCGTTCATTCTACACCCATATCCTGCTTGTGCCAGGAGGTCACCAGTGAAGTTGTCTTGTTCTAGAGAGAAAGAGCCAGAAACAGACATGTACCACGTGCAACACTGGGATGAACTCTCCTGGGAGGGCTTCCTGGAAGAGGGCCCAGGAAGGCGAGCACTGAAGGTCCAGCAGTCGTTAGTCAGGTGAAGCCAAGGGCAGTGCACTGGGGAGTCTGTCCACTGGTCCCATGCACACGTACCCGGTCATCTGCATCCCTCCCACTGTTTCATCTACAGGAACTGGAGATGCAGAATAGTCCACTGGGAGTAGTTCTTAACATGGTAGCCTTCACCCTCATCCCCGGAGTACCTCGAGATTAACTCCAACGTGAGGCTGGGAGTCTGAGATGGAACAATGTGTTTGGGGGAGAAAGAGCTGAGGCTGTGGGGCCGGCACCTTTGAATTCAAATCCCAACCACCCACCTACTAGCTGAGTGGCCTGGCGAAAATTGCCCAACATCCCTGAATTTACTTGTCGTCTTTAAAGTGGACATAACCAGGCCTACCTGTGGTAAGCAGAATCCTGGTCTCCCAGTGTCCCCGTCCTGATTCTTGGAAGCACGAGTATGTCACCTTACACAGCAAAAGAGGCTTTGCAGGCGTGAAGACGTTAAGGATCTGGAGATAGGGAGGTTATCCTGGATCAACCAGGTGGCCCAGTGTCATCACTAGGGTCCTTCAAAGTGAAAGAGAGAGGCAGGGGTCAGAGTCAGAGAAGGAGATGTGGGAGTAAAAGCAGAGGTTGGAGTGGCAGTTGCTGGCTTTGTTGGAGGAAGGAGCCACGAGGCAAGCAGGTGGCCTCCGGAAGCTGGACAGGCAAGGAACAGAGCCTAGAGGAACAAGGAACAAAGCCTAGAGCCCCCAGAAGGATCACAGCCCTGCCAACCGCTGTGATTTTTGCCCCCTGAGACCTGTTTTAGACTTCTATCCTCAGAGCTGTAGGAGATTGTGTTTCTTTCAACCACTATGTTTGTGGTGACGCAGCCCCAGGAGACGAATCTACTGCCTTCCAGAACTGTTGTGGAAGCAAACCTCGAAGTGCAGGAAGGCCCACTGCAGCATAGCTGACAGTCAATACGCAGTAAATCCCACGGCCCTTCCAAAGTTTTTATTCCCTTGCTTCCAAAGATACGGACACTGTTTCATCCAACCCTGTGAGGCTGCCGCCTATCAAAAGGGACTTCCCAATTTGTTTTCTTCTTCCGAAGATTTTGACAGTCTGTTAAAATGGCGTTGGGACCTAAAAAACTTGAGAAAGACATTTTTGTTCATTTGATTGGCAATTAACTTTGGCTCCTGGCATTGCTCATCGGCTTCGGTAGCTGTAAATAACTGCATCTTGCAGAAACAGCTGTTTTTCCAAACTGACTTTCTCGGCGCGGCATTAAGTCTCCGAGTGAACTTTCAATGAGGGTCACCCAGGCCCCACGAGCCCGAGCAGCGGCTGCGACCTGGGTCAGCAGCAGCTGCGACCTGGGTCAGCAGCAGCTTGTGGAGCATGAGCCTCATTCCTTCGAGAAGTGGAGACACTGCTTTTTCAAATCGGGGGAAATGGAATTCACAAAAGTCCTTCTTGCTCCTTATTCTTCACAGTAAGTTTGTGTGGTTGTCAGGAATGGACTTGGCCATAGTGTTGAAGTTAAAAAAAAAAAAAAATCCTGCTGGTTTCCACCACCTGCTCTGCTTCCAGAACAAACCCAGAATCAAAACCTTTAGAGTTCACAGCTTCATCTTAAGACCCTGGATCTGTTGGATGAGAAAGTGGGTCCGGGCAACAAAGCAGGGCGGTGGGGTGTTTGGACTCTGTGGTCTCGTGGCCCTCAGCTCAGTAGCTGGGTCACCTCAGGCCAGTTACTTAACCTTTCTGAGTTCCTGTTTTCCCTAAGGGAAAGTGGAGATAATACAAATCTCTACCTCAACAGGTCTTATCATGAGAATTATACAGTAATTCACAGCACTTGGCATAAAGCAGGTACCCATAATTATTATTATGGGTTGAATTTGTCATCCTTACAAAATTTATATGTTGAAGCTCTAACTCCCAGTACCTCAGAATGTAGTCATTACAGATGTGATTTGCTAAGATAAGATCACTCTGGAATAAGGGGACCACTAATCCTCTATGATTGTCATCCTTATTAAAAGGGGGGAATTTGGGGGCACCTGGGTGGCCCAGTCGGTTAAGTGTCCGTCTTCAGCTCAGGTCATGATTCCAGGGTCCTGGGATTGAGCCCCACGTCGGGGAGTCTGCTTCTCCCTCTCCCGCTCCCCTTACTTGTACTCTCTCTCTGTCAAATGAATAAAATCTTTTTTAAACATTAAAAAAAATAAAAGGGGGGAATTTGGACACAAACACACATACCGAGAGAACGCCATGTGAATTTTGAAGGCCTGCCCTTGGCATAGGGGAGGGGCCACATGAAGCAAAAGAGGAACCGGATTTCTCCTTTGGCCCCCAAACTCCTGGGGCGGGGGGGGGGTGGCAAGCAGCTGCCAGGGCTCCATCCAAGCCGGCAGCACCCGCTAGAGCTGAGAAATTATGATTTCGGTTGAGTAGCTTTTCATATTTGGTGCCTATGTCATCATTCGAGAAGGCGCTTCTGTAACCTGTTGCCTTGAGAGGAAGCATGCATGTACACGTGGGGGCTCCCCTGGTTCTGAGGGCTCTTGCTCACGGGAGGGGCATGGAGGACCACCCCAAGCACACAGGCAGTTTTTCCCTGGAGCCCGTTTCCCTGCAGTCCCTGCTCCCACCCACTCCCAGATCCGATAATACCTTTTTATCAGGTGGTTCTATTTCTGACTTTGGCCAAGGACACACGTGCAAGCAGGTTTGTTCCCTGCAGC